CTTATGATGATTAGGTATCTTTCTGTTGTATGTTGTATGTGTTAAACTAAAATTGTTTTCTAAAATATTATGTTTATTTGGGTTTAAAACGGCACATTGACACATAACTAGTCACATTGCGCGAACACTGAAATATTTATATACAAAGCGAAGAAACTTCCGCGACCATAGTCGTCGATATTTTAATGGAATAGAAATAATGCAGTAAGATGATTTGCCTCAATCCTTGATTTGTTATTTGTATAATATACACATAAAACTGATACAAGAAGATCATTTCTTCTAAATGAGGAGCAGATACAAATATTTTCTAATCCTTATTCGTTGATACGTTAAATTTAAAGCAATTTCTATCATATGGAATAAATAAATATAAGGTCTGCTATGAATTTGTTGATTCAAAGATAAAAGAGAAAGTACTTTTTGTCATAATATCGGAATTAAAGATACAAGTACACAGATGTGATACTTTTCACTGATACATATCATCGAACGTATAACAATTAAATTGGCGTATTTGCTGTTATGTTACATTTACAAGGGGACTCTGAGTATATTAACTTGTAAACAAAAGAAGTGGGACACTATTATTTACATTTCTCAAGCTTTGTGTAAGTCTACCTGAAAATGGAACAATATTCGTGTATTCTGCATGAAAGAGAAAGTTTATACTTCAAATAACTGAAACTCATTTAAGCATTGTAGGTTTGATTCACAGAAAATAACCCATGGAAGTTTGTTGAGGACATACCAGTTACAAAACCTAAAGGAAAATAGAGTACTTCCAAGTTCCATCGACTTTTAACTGATAATTGACATAATTTGTGTTTAAGTCTTTCACACTTAAATTCAATGTGATAAATTTTTGGATATCATCGGTAATAAATTTGCCTAGGCATCATGCCAATATTTTCAAATATATACTTATTTATTAAGTTTTTTAATATTTCTATAATTGACAAATGAAATGTGAGTTAATAGTCATTTGACAGAAACAAAACCAGATGTCGTTACTCTAAACTTATTGATTGAAATGGAGATGAAAGTTTTACGATCGTATTCCTGCATTTTTAACCGTACACTGTTTCATTTTTAGATATCCGAGAACTTATTTTTCTTAAACACCCGATGTATTTTATGTTTTACTCGGAGCGAGTTATGATACTGGTATATTATGTGTAGGTTATGTACGCAAGTCATGTGTAATCATGTTTTATGTTTGCTTTAATGTTGGTCAATGTTAATACATATAAGAAATAAATGAGAATCGCTTTACAGCTTGAATAAGAAATGTACAATTAAAATAAGTATGCTGATAGCAGACATACAAATGAAGATGATTGTTCTTGGCTCCCTATGACATCAAGTAGGTAGGCTAAAGATCTATTGTTTTGAGAAACTAATAACTATTGATAAAAACTGTCCGTGAATGCGTTTGAGGAAATTGCTTAATTATAGTAATATATCACTAATAAAATTCTTTGAAATCGTCGAAAGAAAAGGAAACTGATTATTCATGATGTCGGATTAAGCAGCAGATGTGTCTAAACCTCTGCGCTGTTGACCTTATTTGTTAAATAAATGGTCTTTTTAGTGGAAATGAGTTATTTCTTATTTTGCTTTAAATTAAGATTGTGAAAAACTCTACCTCATCTAAATTCAAAGCGAACGGAGATATAGATAGAGTCATTAATACTAGCAAGTTTTTAATATTAATAAAATTAAATATGAAATACATGTGTTATTAGCAATAAATTTTTTTTCTCTCTCTCTCTCTCTCTCGAGCCATTGAATCTGCCTGTCATAAAATTAAGTGATAGTGTTTGACGGCAGATGATGCTAAGTGGAACAAGTTCCGGTTGGTTGTCTTTTTCTAATAAATAATTTTAGGTTTCGGGCCTGTCAAAGTATTTCCTTTCATATGTCATTATCAATCATTGTGATAATTTCAAAAGTTCTTGTATACAATTAAAATTAACCATCATGCTATACTCTTTACGCTTACAAGATTAAAACACACATTTAAGAAATGAATCTCATTTTATTATAATCGAATCGAAACAGGTAAAAAGGTTTTCAAAGGTTTAAAATTAGAACCATTCAGCTTCTTTACTTAACCCCGTATTAATTTAAATTCACTAGTATGTCTTGGTTAAAGGCCCATTTAGCCTCCCCCCCCCCCAAATTATACTGTTCTTATTTCAAAGACATGAAAGACGTAGAGGAAATTTGTTTGCTTCTACTGTAAGGTCGAAAAGTGAACTCCAGAACCGATAATGTTACAATGGTGTAATCACGTGACATTATAACAGCTTGTGTTTACAAGTCAAATGTAATTTTATGTTTTATGCAAAACAAACAAAAAATGTATTTAGTTCATGTGTCTTGGTTTTAGGTTATTGGTTTTAAGTCATTTTGGCTGATTATTCCACTTATTGTCACGTGCTCTACTTCAACAATCATATCTTACTATTTCTCACAATGTTTCTGTTTATTCATAAAACTTGCTTTTCTGCCGCATTCAAATATTGAACTGCTACGAAAATTATGTTTCATAATTTCACTGTGAAATATATGAATATAGTCTCACTGGCTACTGCAAAGCATGTAATAAAATACATATCAATGTACGTGTACATAAAAGGTATTGATATTACTAAGCGAAAAAAAATTTTAATTTAAGACAGAAATAGCAATGAGTATGACGTGGCACGACAACCTATAACTTAAATATTTAACCCCATAAACTTCTTAACGAATTAAAAGTAAGTTTCAGTTTAAGTTTCAACACATTTTGTCGTCTCTTATATTTTATGATTTACCAACAACATCTATGAACAGGCTCAGTCAAACCGACCCTTAAACAATTAAAATTGTGCCTTTTCAAGCGTCCCTCTCTCAAAGTATACATTAAAAAAATATCTTCAAATGTCAAATTGTGTAATTGCTGCTAAGAGAAATTGTCGACAAAAATCAAATCAATTATTACTGCAGCTAAATATTTGTATCACTCGTTGAAACCATTTGTCATATATTTTACATCTTTAAAAGTTTGGTTAAGCGCGTCTGGAAAAAAAATCAATAGATTTTTGTAATTTCAAAAAATGAAAATACCGCATATGTAGACGAAATATTATAGCGGATTTTTAATAAAATGGAACTTGTGGAACTTGTTTTTGCTTCCTTCTTCTTTATTGGTTAGACATGGATATGATTTTGTATATAACAATTAAATACTAAATATTACAATTAAGGTATAAATATCTGCTTTTTTAATATAAATTGTACTTTTAAATGCTTCCTTAGAAAATCATATTGTGGCAATTTATATTCATATCTTTTACATTGTACCTAAATGTATTGCAAACATTTCCAAAGACACAAATGTCCTAACTAAGTCTAAATTGTAAACATCAATTTTCCTCACTGGCGCCCATGATATGGTCTAAGAGCTGAATTGATAAATATTAGAGTTGCAGAAATACTTTAACTTGTTTTCGTGACATATCATTTTATTTCTGCTACTGGAAATTGATATTAATAAATTTTTTCAAGGCAAGCAAGTATTAAGGTTGGATTTCCTCTCGGGCCCAAATAAATGAGAAATTGTAACATTAAACAAACTAACTTGATTTTGATTTAAATTCAAAAGAATTTGAAAAATAAATATACCTACTGGTGATAATAAAAACACTTATTTTGTTATTTTGTATTTTATGTAAGCTGCTGATGGCATCTTGATATACCAATGGGACAAGTACAGACCTGGTTCAACCAGCATATTAGTGTTGTCTGATCTTGATCGACACTATTTGCTTTTCAGTAAATACAAATTTTGAAATTTTCCCTAAAATGAAAAAATGGTTTTGTCAACATTGAATTAAAGACATGTCTATTTATGAGTACAATAAAATTGACATTAACATAAATACTCGCTCTTTCATTAAATGTATTTATTTGTTTCTAGTACAGATTTAACAAATCCCGTCCTGTTTACTATTTTTCCGTGTCATTTTTAAGTTATGCAATATCGTAAGAAAACAACAATATAGTTTATGCAACACTTTATATTTTCAACCAGAAACTACGGAGGATGTAAAACAAACACATATTTCTAATATTAAGATGTTACTGGATATTTTAACGATTACTGTTTTTCGCATGTAGTATTATATTTTTACATAATATGGCATTTAATATAACAAAAGTTCTAAACCCATTATTTCTGTCACCTGAGATTTACTAACGGATTCTAGACCTAAAAATATTTTAATTTCTGACAAATCTGAATATTAAGCATTCAGAATTTTACGATTGTGTAGACCATTTTAACACATTAAAGTAAATACAGAATTCAAGAATCTTTACAAACTGAAATTATATTTTCTTCAAAAGGGCATTAAATCTTTATTTTAATACAACTTCTCGTGTTTTCATACATATTTCATATGTTTTCATATTATATCTTCTTCATCAAGTTTTATATATTTATATATTTCTTAGATGAAAGGTAAACTAAATAAGAAAAAATAGTGCTTCGACTAAAGTTAATATGATTTATCCTTCTTGGGAAATGGCCTTAATGATTGGAAGCACTTTTCCACTTACATTCTACCGAAATATCATCGGAAAACCGTCTTTTATCTAAAATAATTTGGTAAGTTTAATGTCTTGCATCCTGGTAAATGTCTTTAACGTGCAATATGTCTGTCTTTTAAAATTCAACTCTAAAAGGTGGAATCAGAATTTTATATTTGTCACACAGCGTAAAATATGAAAGAGTTTATTCAACAAGAATGAAATTTAAATTGAATAACGAAACTTGAATTGCAGTTAAAATCTTGATTCCGCTTATTTTCCTACTTTGATTTCTCTTCAGTTTTAGTAATAGAATGTAATGTAATGTTTAAAACGTTAAAGTATCATTATAAAAATATCTTTAATACTAAAGTAAAATTTTAATCTAATCATGAATAATAAAAATACATAATTGTACTTACCTGTATAAATATTTGACAGGAGTGTCATTGGTAAGCAGATAAGGGCAACCATTATGTCGGCTATAGCGAGGTTCACTATGAAGTAATTTGTGACAGTATGCATACTTTGGTTTCTTACCACTACAGCTACTACCATTACATTACCAACAATAGCAAATATCATGATGGTCGTGTATGCCAAAGAGTAAATGATCACCATGTAAATCGGATGACGTAATAAATCGTAATATTCCTGGTCAGCGGTTCCACCGGATACATTTTGTTCGGGTGTTTTGTTGGCCGCCATTTCAACCTCGGGGAATCTGTAGCTCACGTTCAAACTCATTTTGAACTTAGAAGTGTAATTATTATAAAACTAAAATGATAAAGGTTTCGTTCACGCACGACTTATAGATCTATATATACAAAGTTTATATACATTTCATTTCAAGCATATTTATATAAACATATTTATATATTCCACTTTATAGTTTAAGTAATTCAGACATATTCACTGTTCGATAAATTATGCGAAAACATATTAATCCGATAAAAAATGATCCCTTTCAATTGATTAAATTTAAAGTTATCAAATTCAAAATTTAAATTATAAATTGTATTCCAAAATATTTTTCATTTAGAAAATCTTCAATAATTCTTTCCATTCTTGACGTGAAACCTTTTTTCAGAAAAAGAAGATTTGTTTCTCGTACAGCTTTCTTTAATATCAATCACGTCTCTGACATGACACTAGAATCGGCACAAGAGAAATCCAACACTCCCGATTATGTCTAACTGTTTACAGTATCTCGTATCAAAGGTTTTTAGTACTTCCACCAGATAATGTTTTGTCACAAATCAGATTCTGCCATTACCATAAATCGAGTCCCTGATGAATGTTTAGACTTGCAAATTTATCAATAAATTGTGTGCATTGTCCAACAAGGCATTAAAGAACAATTTTATCTTCAGCCATCCTTGGCAATAAATATCATCCCGCGCGTTCGTAAATGCAATTGTGTTAGACCACGCGAGTTGAAAATGAGATATCGGTTAACTCTCTCCTTCACTCTCGTCAGCCGCGCCTCTATAGTCTCAACCGTGTGCAGAAATAACCAGCTTCTATCTACTGCAATAAAAGGCAGTCACAGCGAAAGATTGATAGCATGCAAAGGAATAAAATTGGATCGCTTCAATATATCAAAAAGCAAACATCAAATATGGTGCAAACAAACACCGCCTGATTAAAATAATATAGATCTGGAATAGCTTTACAATGGTTGATGGCAGACTAAAATATCAGCATCAGTTAGATAACGTAGTTGCATTTAAAGGCATAAGATTCCCTGATATCTTTTCAATTCAATTCCATTTCCTTTGTCATATGGCACAATCTATCTGGCTTAAAAGGATAAACAGATTTATGAAATAAAACGCATCCGTATCTGTGTCTGCTTAAGAGTGCTTTCAGGATTTTATTATACGGCCTCAATATCAACGTTTACTATACACATGCGTGAACAACCACATATCATTAATGATAAGCCATTTTAGTAGTAACACATTATTTTGAACATTGTTCTAAAATCACGGTATGTCAACGATTGTCACGCTATTGAACTGACGGCGTTTAAACATGTGATTCTTTAAATCTTTAAAGCTAAGGTAAACTGAGTGTATTTTTACATTAATGAACATTAACTGTACTTAAGTACATTTAAGTACCATATCAATATTTAAAGTGCATATTTTGATACTGTTTATCGACATGTGTGTTTAATATAATGCAGAAAATGCTATAAAAGTGTATTTATTCTTTCATCAAAAGAAACTGTAAAAACTAAAAAAATATAAAAAAAAACTAACGGTTTCACAATATGTTCTTTTTATATTGTATAATGTATCTTTGTCCTTCATCTATTCTGAAATATTCTAAAATTGTCACAGAAAAATACTGTTTGAGGCAAATATCATAATTTGCAACATATTTGTAATAACTATAATATATTTTTTATTTCTCCTTCATATTATTGTTTTATAAAACCTCAATAGCTTTGAAGGTGATCTTAAAACGATCTACACCTGAGCAAAATATTATTTTAGATGTTTATTGTCATTATACAGAAAGTTCATATTGTGGCTATTGTCTTTATATTTAATATATAAAATAAATGTGTCGAACATTTTGAAACTAGCTCGACATTATTTTATCACAGATGTGTATGTCGTTTAGAACATTGCTATAAAACCCTCCTGTTAACTTTTTTTAAGCATACATGGAATGTTGCGCGTGTCAGGGTCGGAGAGATTACTTGCCTGTATTCGTCTACATGGTTACGGAAGAGATGTAGTTGATAATGTTTATTAAGGGAATAGTGATTTGAATTGGTGAAATTTAGTTATATATTCACTAAAATTTAAAACAATTATTTGTAAACTTAATATTACTTAAGGATACCCATTGCAAAATTGAATATCAACCTACAAAACGGAGCTTTAAATTCTTAAATTGATTATGAACAAATTTTACCGTCACAACTACCAACTTTATGCTTCAAATGAGTGTTATATTTTTACCTTGTAAAAGGAACATCATGTTGTGCTTTCTGATAAATTCACTTAATTAAGAAAATCATATATGTTTCAGCTTGAAGAAAATGTTTTTATACGTTTTGCTTTATAAACGTTCAAACCGTAAAATTATCTGGAAAAAAGTGATCCCTCGGAAGCATTAAAACCAGCAAAATTACATGAAAACTTCAGACTCGGTTTGATTGAGTCTGTACATTTGGAACAAGGAAAGAGAGCAACATCCCCACGCCTCTTGTAATAAAACATATATAATTGTAAGCCAACAAAACAAATATAACAACGACTCGAAATTTGAAATATCAACTTCACGGGGAAGGAACTGTTACACGAAGGATGGAATATTTATGATAACTTGTCAGGAGTTCTTAATATGATAACTTTTACGGAGGTCCTGAAACGTTACGTATTTTGTAGGAAAACTTTATTATATACCGAAGAAACCCTCGTAAAAAATGGTAATTTTCATTTTAAAAAATTGAGTTTGTAATGCTAAATTTAACTTATGATTAAGCTTGTCATACAAATATTGTCAGAAAAAGCATTTTTAGTCCATTTTTCATCGCCTCTTAATATCTTGTAGTCTTGACTAAATTATCCAAATTATTTGCTCATACGTACACATTGACCTGCCCATTTGTGATCTTCTTCGAATTCGTTACCATACTGAATTACCTAATTATAATAGAAAATTGCAAATATAAAGCACCTACTAACTAATAAATGCACTAAATTTCAATGTCTCGGAGTTCTTGTAAAAGTCTTTTTTTTCTGACATACAAGGATTAGAGACTCCATTACAATTTAAAAGAAAACACGGAATGCCCGAGTAACTCCGAAACATCAAAATGGAAATGTTGATAAAACTGTGTAGGTAGGTCAACACACTTTGGGGTTCGACCCCAAAGTTCGGTAAACTTCACTGCGCACTTTGTGGTCACACGCACTTTGGGGACAAAATCGTGGAATTGACCACGACGTGCGTTAATATGCTACATGTCAACGCACTTTAAGTTTTAGAGTTCTGAAGGTGTAAGTTGAGTACTGACTTATATTAGAGTTGCGACAGACATTGACATATCTGAGGTGGAGATGACAGTCGATACTTATAAAAATCACCGTGTTATCTTACTAAGAACCATTTTAATTATGATGTGTGTGAGTCTTAAGTGGTAAATTTGTAATCAATTTTACCAATTGAACTATCTGAAAATTAATTGACCATATAGTAAGCTTCTAAAGTATGTGATGGCCGGTTTCGGCCATTTCAAACCCGCGAGAAACTTTATCGCTTTATCATAAAATGCGTGCAACTTATAACAGTAAATAGAAACAGCAAGGAACATCTTAAATCCAGTGGTCCGTAGCGTCCATGGTTTGACTCAACACTTTATCCGTCGTTTGTGTACAAAATAAAAACGAGGAACAGAAAGAAATCCGCAACTAGAAATAAGGTAAATCCAGATTTTTAATGGGTCCACAACAGTACCTATCGTATAAAGAACTGGTTTCTTATTAGATAGAAAAATGTGTAGCATGCAATCTGTACACTTTTGGCACATAACGTTAGTTCAAATGTAAGACTCAAATCATATGTTATCTAATGTATTATTACACTCAATACGCATCATACATATTTATACTGAGAGGCCACCATCCTATGAGAGAAATAATTGAATTTAAAACATATTTATAATGCATTGTAAACTGCAAATTTAAATAATATATCGTCTGCTATTGTTAGCCGACTAAATACATTTTCTTATTTTTAGTTCACAATTGGCATTAACTACAAGATATAATTTTAAAATACAGTTGTATCTATAAATGTATGACCCCAAAGTGCACTTTTGGGATGGACCCAAAAGTACGTAACGCACTTTGGGCCGGACCCAAAGTGCTTTTGACCCCAAAGTGCGGTGTTACAGAGTCTTTTAAAGCCATGAACGAATTTGTCAATGAAATAATGTAAAGTTTGTAATTTTTTAATTTTATCTTTAAAGAATTTCGCAGCAAATGAAATTTTATTGGAGAGCATATTGCTAAACTTTTGATTGAAATTAAGTATTAATATCAATTGTTGCTTCAAAGTGGTATTTCCTCTTTTCTGAAATAATGCGAACAAAGTATTGTGATTTTATAAATATATTGTTTTGTGAAATCGAATCTATTCAAATTTTACCTGAGAATTTCTAATTAAATTTTAGTTTCTCTTGTAAAATGAGAATACAAGTGTATAAGTGAATTAATTTTCAAGATATTAACTCTTAATTTGTCATATAACAATAAAAGTAATAATATACATAGAGTTTCTTACTCTATAAAATAATATAAAAGCTTATAATATATGTCGGAATATCGCAAATTACCTTTTATTGTCTGCAATAGGGATACCACAGAAACTCGTTATTTATAAATTAAATGTATTAAGAGTACGAAATTGTAGGCTTGTCACTAGCAATAACGGGTTTTTACAAGTTTATTTCAAATATTTAAGGTAAAAGTCTACTTAAAATAAGTAAATTCATAGATACAAAAGTAATCAATACATTATTTATATATTTATCATTATAGTTGTAGAAACCGAAAGTACAAAATGACAACCTGTTGACATTGAGTCGGAATTGTTTATAAATGTACATCAGTGGGCATATTTAAATTAAAAAATGGTTGTCAGACATATTTTCAATCATAGTTGTACCGAAACAGACTTTGCGGATGCTTCAAAATTCAACATTGTACCAGTTCATGTTAAATATTGAATTATGTATAAGCCGGTGCGAGGGGGCGTGGACGGTAGTTTGCACTTGACTGTACCGTCCATGAACAGGCTCAATCAAACCGAGCCTGCAACATTTTCAATTTTGCCGTGTTATGCTTTCTTTAGGGATTCTTACTTTCTCTATTTTATTTTCCTTTGGATGTCAAATATATACATTCGTTTTACATTATCGAAGATAACTTGGAAATTGAGTACCGCTCAAGCCGATGTTAGGGGCGTGAGGGATGTTTGAAATTTTTATGCTCCCTCTTGTGCAATTTTTCTATACATATGTTGCTTTTGATACTTCCAAGAGATGTTTTAAATGTGTGTGTACAAGAGATCAGAAGTCAAATCAAATATTAAAGTTATATTAAATCTTAATTGAAAGACAAAATGTGTTACCTATAAATGTATTTAATATTAATACACATAGTCATCTCGAGAATTTCAAAAACTGACTTTTAGATTTACTTCTTAACAGACAGAATCTTATTATCATACCACTGTTTTTGTATCGTAAACCACTGTTTTCTTATGTTTTGAAGCAATCTTTTAAATGGTTACACTTCAATTTAAATTAACTACATTTGATGTAGCTTTTCCAGACTATACAAGTTTGCATGGACACTATTTCGTCGAAAACCCTCTCAATGTTGCTCCGCGGTAAAATTTAAAATGATGCACTTTCGGCTTGATTGAACTCG